CCCGTGCGGCGACCACGCTTGTGCAATTATCAAGAGGGTTTGAATTTTATTAGTTTAATGAGTACGTCAAATGGACTATGATACGTATAATGTGATTATGTATGTAGTGCGAGGCCAACGGTCGTATACTTAACACAGTTTTGTTTCAAAAACTAAGCACTTTGGGTGCTAAATGAATTTCGAGCTACAGACGTACCAAGAACTAACATATTATATTATTAAATATAGTAAACCGGCTTGTTAAGTATATATTGTTTAAAGGCGTTTAAATTTTAGTTTGTCACAGTTCGCAAAGAGATACAAACTTGAATTAAATTCCATCATGATAAATAATATCATAGTTCTTCTTCGTAAACATTTGATTGAAAAACTATTACTTTATAAATACGTAAAAAAATTACACAGGTACTCTTGCAGTTTGTCTAAAAGTGTATAATAATATATAGTCCTCTTAACGTTGTTTGAGAGATTTTTGTCGTATAACGAAATGGTCTATTTAATTCATGATACTACATTCGAAACATCTTGTCAATACAATAAAATATGATATGAATTATCTAATTAATTGTTTTTCGATTAAAATTCGCACGACGGTTGCAGATATGATAATAGTCATCACCTTCCAGATTTAACGTATAGAAATATAAAATTAGAATATATCATACATATCCTTAAAAAATTACTCAGGGACCGTATAAACTCCTATCTCCATTCATCCCTCGTGACACAGAAAAAAAATTAAAAAAGGGTTATAAGTAATAACACTCTTCGGTCGTATACAGACGCTGTGTACACACCCACGCGCGCACCGGTTCAAACACATGCGTTCGTTAAACGCTGCACAGGAGAAATAATTATAAGCGCCTCGTTATTGTATACTCGTAAATGTGTATTGTGTATTTTTGTTTAACGTACATGATGCTATATATATTATGTGTGTATGAGTGTGAATTATATATCAGAATATAATACATATTTATATATATATATATGAATACGTGTTATTATTAATACCCGGGACGACCGTGTTTGTGCAGTCCATTATCCGTGTACGTGACCCCGAAACCATCTGGGAGCCACCCCGAGACCCACGTGCTCTCCGTTTCGGTGTAGTCGCTGTGTAAAAAAAAAACCGCCAAGATAATAAATATCCACGTCCTTAATTAGAGTCCGTTTGTCAAATGTCCGGTGTGTATGGGATGTGTGTGTTTGTGCACACTGTGCGTGTGTAAAGAGCGAACACGTTTAAACGTTTTTTTTTTTTTTGCAACGCCTTATTGGTCCCGTGCCGCCTGAAGCGGGAGATGACCTGACGCCGCCGCCGCACTAGCTGTCGCTAAACAGGAAACGACCCTCTCACGGTACTTTTCCTTCTTCGCTGCATACATTTTAAAAGACATGCTCATATATTATATCGTTCGCGACCAACAATTTTTTCCTCGGCTAATAATAATTTTGAGTTTTATATTCAGCGCATATAATTAATTCGCACCTAGTTGATGCATAAACGATGTGTTAAATCATATGAATATATAATCATAAACTATAACGTTTATAATGGTGGAAATCTGTGTATTACATTTTTTTAATCCGCTTAGATTTATGTCATAACACGTTGGTATGCATTTTATACGTATATAGATATTACTTAAACACTATATAATTTAAGAGCGTATAGTTACATTATAAATTAATATATGAAAAGACAGCTATAACAAGGGTTATGTAAATTCATATGTTTTTTTTTCAATAAAAAATACCCCAGTTATTGTACCTATATAATATTATATATTTTATTTTATATATGAGTTCATTAATTTACTGCATTACATAGTTTTAAATTTAAAAAAGTAAAAGATTCATGTATTTTATTTTAATATAATTTTATATGATATATTTCCTATTATTTTATTATCTTAGAGTATATTTAAACTACAAGTAGATAAATATACAAATAGTTTCATGAAGGTATTATAGAATATTTACTTTATGTAATTCCGGCTAATAATCATGTAGTTGATGCCATAAACAATTAATAAGAAATATATATATATATGTATATATATATTTACTTTATTCTATTCAATAAATTTTTCAATAATATGTATACATTATATCATGTTTGAATTGTGACACTTTTAATTTGTTGATGATGTAAATTATAATATACTTTGGCACTGGAAAGTTCTTTCATCAATTAAAATATAAGATTATAACTATCAATATTCACTCTAGCTATTTAGTAGGTTTGAATTTTATAATATAGAAACTATTTGTTTGATTTTTAAGTTTATATTTATATGATTATATAGTTACCACTGTTACCAGTTACCTGTAATTTTACATATTATATAAGTATTTTGTTATTTCCGTAAAAATGGGGTTTTTATATCTTAGCCAACAGTTGAAATAGTTTTATAGGAATAATATTGTTTTTAAAACAAAATTCCACAGCCACAATGTGTTGAAACAAAAATATTAAACTACCTATTCTTAAAGCTAGAACATGCCATATTTATAAATGTGTCAACATGTATTTTGTTTTTGTTTTTACACGAATATGAAAAAATCCAAACCTTTGTTGAAATATTTTTTGTCAGCTAGTTGTCAAACATATTTTAAACGTAGGTTGTAGATATATCGGTAAATGTACTAAGTTTTAATTTTTGGCAACAGTATAACTACATTTGATTGTGTATGACGTGTATACGACGATACCTCCATATTTAAAAAAATAATATATTAGTGCATTAAATATAATAAATTAATAACGAAATAGGTATAGTGAATAGTAAAAGACAGATGAAAAATTAATAATATTATTACATCAGAAGAAAGCCAGTGTTTAACAAGTTCAATTTAGTTTTATTGTTATAATATATTCAAAAACTTGAATTTTCTTAACACCTATTTATATCAACGTTTTCTAGACATGATACAATTTTTAAAATATTTTGTTCAGTATATATTTATAGACATAAGAAATTGTTGACGTTTTTTTTAGTTTTTCTGTATATTAATTTAAAGAAAAAGTTTGTTAAAAAAGCTTGAACATTAAATGCAACGTTCTTCATAAGTTGTTCACATTTAAAGCAATTACACATATCGAAGATGCGTTGTATAATTTTTTTTACGCTAATTTCAAGTTCAAATGTACAGACGAATATATTTGCACATAAATATCAAAAAATATAATTATACTAGTAAATAATAAACGATACAATACTAATGTATATAAGTCGTAAGTGATAAGTATAAGAAGTTCCAAGTTTAATGTATAATAACCACTATAATCTAAGTACAAAATATATTTCAAAAGTAAATTTAAAAATAATAAATGAATTCAATAACCTACATTAAGTTCTTAAATGTAAAAGAGCTCACAATACAGAATCCAATCGACTGTCAWCTGATCGTTGTCAATGTTAAGTGCCTATATCTGTTAAAATGAAGGAATTTGTATGTTATGCAGCAGAGAGTAGGTGCTAATTTGCAGCATAAACTACTTTTATATATTATAATATTTTATTGAGAGACTATTTACATACAATCTACCTCCATAAATAGATTACAAATATGAAAATCATACTGTTTATAAAAAAACGTAAAGTATTAATTTTATGCATGTATAGTATGGAGAAATAATTAAATTTAAATTTAAACCATTCAAAAACAAGCTTTTCTACTCTTATCATATACATTATCTACTCTACTAAAAACATTCAACATCTTTTTTTTCAAATCAGATATTATTTTTTTACTAGTTTTCACGATGTTTGATTCTTTTGATTGCTAATAATTCATGRTGTGGTATAAGATTCATTATAATTTATTAATTTATATATATACGTAAAAGACATGTACTTACGATTGATGTAGACAAAAACCATTATAAAGGGTAGAAGGCAATAATAATAATATCGCGGGGGTGATGTGACTGCTCGGAGTCAGAAATTGTAGATGAGAAAACAATGAAGAGGAGCTAACAGTCGCATTAAAAAATAATACAACATTTTTTGTGCCAGTTGCGTATATAGAAATAATTTTCGAAGTTAGTTACAATAGATAACAAGTGATTTAGGGATTTAGCATCCAGCGTATAATGTCTATTCAAAAGTTTCTAAAGAGGAATTTCGCAATAACCATCTAAAGCTAGATGTGATAATTATTTCATGATAAAAATACTAAAGAGTTAAAATTACGTAAAAATATGTTATATATACGTTATATTAATGTATAGGTAATAACCGCATAGATAAAGGTATATTTAGATTTCATATGTGTATTGAACCATCATAAAAATAAAATATCAGAATGTAATTTGGAGCTTATAAAAATTCACATTTTTTACTTTACTCAAATTATATTATATATTATAATCACTACCTTAGTCTATATGCAAGTATGATAATTTTCTTCTATTATCCTAGATACCTACTGAAAAGTTGCTGAAAAACCATATTATTCAATACACAACATTTACATACCTATAAATGATGTTAAATTGTCAACGGGTTGAAAAATATTGAACAAGTAAATAAAATATGTTGTCCATAATTTACGTTTTTATAGGATTCAATTCAACTGAAATTTTTTTTNGGTCTGGTGGCTCACTAACCCCTCCCCTCTATGTGCGACAGCGCCACCATTTGTACATATATTATACGATCATGTGGTATCGCAGTACCTATCAGTACATATTTTGTGTCAATTGATGTGTAGACAATGAGACAACATTAATGTTGATAAACGGTATCAAAATATTGTATGCACACATGTTTTTGTGTAACATACGTTTGTATGTACTATTTTGTTTATATCGATATATATATATATATATATATATATATGTGTGTGGAAGAGAGAGAGAGAAATAGAGGATGAGAGGGTATGTGTGAGTGTGTGTGTGAGCGCGCGGTACGGGACGGGGACCACATGTTCAAACTGAACAATGCGGCGGAGACCCGAAGACTACCGCAGTACCGCGCGCTGCTGACCAGTCACCAGTACTGGTCTAGAAGACAACGCGTTCGGTTCACGGTTGTTCAACATAATCATTTTTTTTTTCTTACATCGGATATTATTAATATTTTTCAATAAGTGCGAGTGTTTAAAAAAAATTTTATTATTCGTTCGATCAGTGAATTTGTGCTCTGACTATACTTAGTAATAAACTAATAATAATACAATGGTGACTTCGCGCATATCATTAGAAGGGCTTTTGCAAAACAGACTGACTACGGACATTTGCAAGGACACGTTAAGGATGCAAGGAAACGCAACGGATTTGTTTCATTTATGTAAGTTGTCTGTACATAACATTGATGTAGATTGTTAATAATGAAATACCGGGCCACGGGCAAATAACCGAATAATATAATATAACTGATACTATATTTTGCACAATACACTTCGTTTCTAATCACAACGAATTAAACATTCTTATATTTTTCAAATTTATTTAAAAATTTTATATAATTTAACTATACATAAACGATAAATCTCATAAATAATTATCTCTATTCATGACTGTAGAAACTCTAAAATAAGAATTTTAATTTTACATACCTAATTTATACCTCAACTCATCTCTTTAGATTATTAATAAATCTATATGTTATAGGTTTTATTTCTTAAGTGTAATTTATACGATGGAATTTTTTTTGTTTGTCTTAAAATTTATTAAAACCACATTTATCATATATATATTTAAATAATAAAATAAATAATATCATAAAAATACTAATAAATACCTAATAACAAACGTCAATCAATAACCATGTGTGTATAGAATATAGTACCATGTTATAATATAGACGATGATTTTCGTCAATCATGCATACAATATACATCATATGAAACTCGTCGGATGACTTATCACTCAAATTCTTCATGCATGTACCTATCTAATAAAAAATTAGATTTAGACCACACCTAGTTCTAGAAAATCTAAAACGCCCACCAGGGAATTATAGAGATACAGACTAATATAAGATTACACCTACGGAATAATTTTTATGAATGAATCTTCATTTAATACCAAAAATCCTATTGTTGTTAAAAAAAGTCGAATAACGCTAACATTGTGTATGTTACATCAAACATGTTATATTGTATTAAATTTGCATACATTGTCAAATACGGGGTGATAAAATGCGTAGGTGCCGTAGGTTTACACAATAAAAAATAATTGCAGTCTAAATGATAATACGGACGTACAGCTTGTGATGTACCAAATGTCTATTACTGTATATCCTACAGTCTACACCTATAGATTAAGTATATAATATTATACATAATAAATTATTATTATAACAATATGTTGTGTACACATGCGAACCATATATGTATAATTAAATTTTATATTACCTAATTACTAATTAGTATTTACAAATAGTGTGGGAAACTAAGAATAGGTATAGTACTGTACTTGAGTCTTGAAGTGCTTAAAAAATACTTAATTAACTTTTCATGTTTAAATAATATGATAAACTTGTAGCCGACAGCTGTATAAATAAATGACAACAAACAATAATTGACATCAGTAAAATATCAATAAAATATTATACTTAAATTGTAAAGAAAATACGAACAAAAAACCGAATACATTTTTCTATTTAAACATCAAATACTTTTACCACTTGTTTTATTTATAAATTAATATCTTTAATAATATAGTCTACCTATATTATATTGGTATAATTAAATCGTTCTCTACTATACAAATTTTATTTCATATTTGATAATATACGATTAAAAATAAAATATTTTAAATGTTTGATTGTTTTCAAATTATCAAGAAGGTACCGGCAAATATTATATTCACATAGGTATTTTGATCAGTAGCGTAATCAAAAATCTCCTGGATTCTTTAACGGCACTCATTTATAAAAACCAATGTAATATAAGTTATGAGTTATGACATAATATGACACACTTATTTAATCAGAATAGATGCACATACAATTTGTTGTGAAATCAGTTGGTCTTAAATAATACTTAATAAACACTATTGTAATCGATTAACTAAAATTAAATTTTTTAACTATCAATAATTTTAGTCCAGGATGATCAGTTTAAAGTCATTCGACATTTAAAAAAAAAACACTTGCAGAAAAGGTAAAATTAAAATAAATAGTAAATGCACACATGCTTAACACACACCGTTTTACATGTAGGTAGCAATATTATGAATATAAATACTAATTACGATAATATAATCGCGTAAAGATAATGACAATAACAAAAAATATCTGTGTATCCAAATCATTGGAAACTGACATGGAAAGCCCATTTCATTAGACTTGTCGTTTGAAAAATACTATTGTATACATATATATTAGCATAATAGGTCTATTAAAATTAAAAAAATTATCTAGTTTATATAGGTCCACGATATATAAAATAATTATATCACTAATCCAATACAGCTACAACTTATATACTAGTTAACGAGGCGTTCATAGTATTCGACTGACACTCGATATGTAAACTATATAATATAATATATTATAAATAATATTTAAACGTTATATTAGAAGACTTTAGATTATGCCGAGATTAGTTAGAAAAAAACATTTAACGTCGGATAAGCATTTTTTTTTTACATTGTCTATACAGGAGCATTAAATAGTTGGAATTTTTATTCTCCACAATGCTAATTGTAAGATTATAGCGAACTGTATGACTTTAATTTGTAATTTATATTTACAAAAATATTGATTGTCAATAAAAATCCGTATAGTGATAAATTGATTTTAATTTATTGTTCGATATTATCAATACGTGAACATTGATTTTATTCATATTATGTGTTATAAAACTTAGAGCGTCCGATGATATGTGAAGGTGAAAATTAATACCAAATATTAACTGATACAAGTGACAACACTTTTACCAGCAAGACGTGTTTTAAATTATTGTTAGATATTTGATTTTTATAATAATGTGTTTTTTTTCTTTGACTTTTCACAGATGCGGGTAAACACCTCGCGGACGACACGTCGTCGTCGTCGTGTGGCGCGGAGATGATGACCACCGTGACAATCAAGCGGGAAGCGCACACGCCCACCACTGACCAGAGCGAAGACTCCGGCGTGGACGTGTCGGCTGTGGCTGATGGCCACGTCGGTCGCGGGCCGTTCAAACGAAAACGGTCGGACGACTCCGACTTTGGAGACGGTTGTCCGACCGCAGCCAAGTCCAGCAGGACGGCTGATGCTGCCGCGGTCGCGGCCAGTGTACTGCGGTCGATCAACATGGAAGCGTGCACTCCGTTCAGGCCGTGGAGCTGCAACGACGAATCGTCGTCGGACGTGGGCCTCCGGCTGTTCCATGACATACGTAATGTGGACAGGATACGGACGCTGACGCAGCAACGCCGCAGCGAACAGTCGCCGTTGCCACCACCGCCGCCGCCGCCAGAACCGCAACCCTTGGACCTGACCAAAAGCCATCGGACCGCGGCGGGACCAGCCAACGCCGCAGAGTTGGACGCGATCACGGCCGACGATGCCGAGAGCTCCGCCGAATACGCCACACCGTCATCGGGTGCGGCGTCGTTCCCATGTGCAGTCACGGAAACAGCCTCGGCCGCCGGAGCGTCGACCACCACGGCCACGACCAGGTACAGCAAAAACATGTCCCGGGCCCGGAGGATCGAGGCGAACGCCCGCGAAAGATCTCGGGTGCACACCATCAGCGCAGCATTCGACACGCTCAGGGCCACCATACCGTCGTACTCCCGGAATCAGAAACTGTCCAAACTGTCGACGATCCGGATCGCCAGCGCTTACATACTGACGTTGTCCCGACTGCTGGACATGGACTACAGCGCTGAGCACGACAGCCCGTCCGTGGCCGAGTGCGTGGACAACATCACGGGTATCATACACATGGARGGTAAGGCGAGAAAAAGGAAAGACGATCAGTGATGATGATGATGATGACCAAATCGACGTTAACGTGATACCGCAGAATCGTGAATAATATGTTTTTCCATATTGTATATCATTACAAAATATAATAAATAAAAATATTATATTTTTTATTCGCGGAAGACGATTATATTATGAAATGACAATGTTTACGACGAGAAAGACGTATATCACAATATCTGCGGATCAAATCGACTGATCTAGAAAACTGCAGAGAGAGAGAGAGAGAGGGAGAGAGAGAGAGAGAAAGTAAACGTATTGAATATTAATGTATATACATAATATATTGATTTTCGTCGTACAAGTAATATACTCGAAGTTCGGAAATAATTATTCCAAGCAGTGATGATAGAATCACCCTCCTCATCACTGGACACGGCGAACGTCACTTCRGTGCGCACCTTTTTCACCCTCGCGAAGATCACAAAAGCCAGACGCTCGTGATCCACATGTTAAAACACATGGCCATCACACTTGTCGCGTAAATAATATAAGGTTGTAATAAATATTATATTAATAAAATATTATATTGTTATTGCTACGACGAGTGCGCTGGGCTTGCGTTTGTACACCTATATATAGTATGCACGTCGACGGTTGACCTATAAAAATAAAACTCATGCAATAATAATATAATATATTATACATGATGCATATTATTTCGCGTTGTTATAAAGCACAATAGCGTACTGCACGCACACGGAAACACGACATTTTGTATAAGTCAAAATAAACGTTGTGATGTACGTATGCATATTTTATTATATTATTATAGTGGCATAAAATAATAAAAATTATTGTAATAATATTATACATATTATATGCTACCTACCTATGTAAAGCTTATAATTGTATACATTCCGCAAAAAAAAACATCAATTGTTATTATTATAATATTATAATCGTCGACAGATTATTGATCACGAATACTATATACAAATAATACTACAATAATTATATATTATATAAATAGTGTTTTATAATATATCATGTCGTCCGCTTTACCCGATCGCCAACATCGATCACCGATGCAGATGTGGTTACAAAGCGGTATAATATATATGGTTACTACACCCTGACAGTATGCCCACCCACTATTATATTATATCCTATTTTTATTTTTTCGTTTTGTTATTTATACATAATTACGTATACTAGTCAATTATTATTTATATCGATGTGTACCTATACATAATATTGTATATTATTATACCATATAAATTATTATTTTAAAAAAAATTTACAATTGTAAGATTTTTTAAATTATTTATTAAAATTGTTTTAATACTCGTCGTCTATACAATATGTACTGTTTATACATTTATTTTTCATGGCGCCAATCACTGGATTCTTCTGTGTCTTAATTATTGTAAATACTAAAGTCCTATAGTATAGGAMCTATACCTATATATAATGAGTAACATGAAACTGTTACTTTTAAAAAACAAATAATTGTCATAATATGCATAGCAGGTAGACATGATCAAAAATGGGAACGGTGATGTGATTATTATTACTAATAGAGTAGTATTCGTTTAGGTCGATGAAACGGCGATTAGTAGCATGACTTATTTTTGGAAAACCAGCCTATAATATTATGATGTAGTCGTTTAAACGTCCGTCAAATGGCACCCATTAACCGTGTCGGACATTGGAACGCCAGTAGCCATACATATTTTGGAATTTGGACTCATAGGACATTATGCGCACACTATATAATATGATGTGTTTTGGCGGGGCCAATTAAAACGCACTTAGAACTAATTTGGGATGACACAATAGTCTTACCAACAGATGCCACACACTAATCACTGTGCAGTGTATGTCTGCAGGGTCGTTTCCACGACATTTTACATTTCTCAAAGTATATCCATAAAATAAACTGAAATATAATATTATAATCTACACTACAGTAGAGAAACGCATGATAATAATATTATATATTCAATATCAATATATAACGATTAGTTTGAAGTACACAACGCATATTATTGTACGTTTTATATCCGTATGACGTTTAGTGCATCATATACTGGTGCCAATCATTGCAGCTGCGTGCGTCTCACCTAACTTTTTTATTTTGAACTTTATATTATACAATTTAAATTATTATAATAATTCAAAATAATATGGCGCTTAAGAGTTAAAACTATCCTATAAAATTATTGTTATATTATTTGGTAAATGGACATTTAACTTGATTTCTTTTAAACATACATTTTTAGTTTGTCAATATATAATATATATATATATTTACAAATAATTTATAAATCTGTAACATTGTCGTTAACGTTGGGCATGACTCTCTGTTCGCGGCTCGTTTAAGTTTGGCATCATATAATAATTATTGATATGTAATAACTAATAATCAGTGGCGTATCTATGTATTTAAGCATAGAGGTGCACCTAATTTTTCGGGCCCCTTATAAAGTTTCAGTTGCTACTTGTTGATTAGGCCGATTAGGGGCTCAAGGGCTCTATTTATAAAACACAGCTAAAGGGCCCTGGTGCAATGCACCTCCTGCACCCCCTCTAAGTACGCCACTGCTAATAATACGTTAAAATTATAAATTACAAAATTTTGGCTATGTAAATGTGAAAACGTCGCACAATCCTGAGCTCAATCGTGCTTTACCGCTTTAATATTATCAATAACACTATTCACTGGGAGTAACACGTTAGGCATATCATTATACACCATTATATTTAAATTTACAAGTAATTTTTATCTCGCCCCTGGAGAGATTTTATCAGACGTTTATCGTTGAAAACCGACGGGCGACAATATTGACCTAGATTCATATTATGTCCATGCACCGCACATTGTATGTTGTGTGTGTGTATTTATGTATATGTATAGATGTGAATGCACCGCGATGAGTGACACATCAGACAGACCTGCGACTTTATTAAAATAAATTATATGCAGTAACTTAACCTATGACGGTTTGGTCGTGAATCGAACGGCACGACGGACGACAGAGAAAAAGCCCGACGACAATAAACGGCGACGACAAAAATGATCACTAGGTATAGTAATAGTGTGCATATATATATTATACTGTTTGATGTAATTTAAATGCAAGTAAATAGCAAATAAGTAATAATAATAATGCAGAACGTATGGTCACCTGCAAACTCTTAAATATTTATTGTATATATTGAAATTATAATAATTGCATAACTTCATTCAAAATTAAAATATCGTGAAAAACCTATACGTGAGACTTAGCTTAAGATTCGATAATGGATCAATTCATTCTAAAAAGTGAAAAAAAAATTTTTAAAAATGGATTATTTTGAAAATAAAAAATAATGCGCTGTTTTCTAAACACACATTATAGATATGCTACATCCATATAAACAATTTTTACAAAGAAAAATAATTATTAGAATTTTTTTTGATGAAAAATACAAAGTTAATATTGAAATGATATAAGCATATATAATTTTTTTTTTAATTTTTCATAGGTATTCAAACTAAACAAAAATTTTGATAAAAAACCATTATAATATTTTATTTTTTTGATAGGTAATTTAAATATTTTGCCATAAAAATTTGTCACCTGAAGCAAAAATGCTCTTTTTGCACTTGGGTTTATGCAACCGTGATTGTGACCAGATTGTATCGTTAGTTAGTAAAGTTGTTCCGGTCATCAGTATTATGAGAAAAACGTGGTCGATGTTTCTTAGCGCCGTTCGATTCTCGATGAAACCATCTTCGTGTCGTCGTACACGGACGCATTAAGTGTTGTGTGACGACATTTCAACAAAAAAAATCTAAAGAAATCTTTATACTTGCGGAAATAAATATATAGACCGATGATGAATTTCATATTCTTAAATTATTATGTTCTTGTAACGGTGACGATGTGACTGTGGTATTCGATGGTAAAATGTGAGCAATATTAGYAGTATMATATAAATATATAATATACCTACCTAAGTAATCCGAAATCCCATTTGGCTGCGAAATATTTGAAAACGTAGTTTTTATACATTAAACTATTTAAGTATGTTATTGGTACATTTTTTAGGCCAGCAAAATATTTCACATGTCATAAACCTAATTCAAATTTTATTATTAATTTATTGATGGTGCTTTTCAGTGGCATAGCTGACGGAAGGGCTGAGTGAGCTGCATCCCCCCCCTCCACCACCCGAAATGTTAAGAAAATTTAAAAATTATTTTAATGGTATATTAAAGTCACTAAAAGTCTTAAAATGTATTTTTAAAATATAAAAAGAAAATTCATTGCTATTTTTATTATTATTTTTTCTACATGCTAAACTTATCAATAAGAACTTAGGTAAGCCACCAYTGAGTAAAMATCGACTTCTACCCCCCGAATGAAACGGTGATACGGTGTGTGTTCGGTACCTAATAGATAACTGATAGAACCGAAAGCTCCCTCGACACGAATCGGTTTTGTTCGGTTTCAATTCGGGTCCAGAGTTCACAAAAGCAATTGGTCGTTTACACACATACGGTCTAGTTACGGTTCGGTAACGTTTACGGCAAGGGAAAATATTATTTCATTTTTAATTTTGTAATTTACATTTGACAATGTCTGATTCACTTKACATTGATATTGAGCGGCTGATTACATCAGTCCAATYACGTGTAGTGCTGTGGGACAAAACAAGTGAAAAGTATAAAGATAAATTTAAGACGCTGGAAGCATGGAAAGCTGTTTGTACGGAAATCATAGACGGCWACGAAGATTTTGACGACTCTAAAAAAAATGATATTGGTACGTAGGTATTGCATATTTTATTTCCGTCGAGTATTAAGAATATTTAAAATATTTTATGAGTCCTTTCCAAATTTATAATTAAATTGGATTTTACTGATTTTAGTATAAGCTATTTTTGGCATGTAACATTATAAATAATTGTTTTATATTTTTAACTGTTTTTCTGAAAAATAAAAACATTATTTTATGGGAAACCCTTAAAACTAATATSTTATAATAATATTTATCCTACTTATACGAAAAATAATTGTATTAATAGTTTGATTTATAAATAATTATAATTTGTATCATTAACTACTAAAGTACTAGGTACCTATGCCCGTACTATATGCTACAAAGTAGTATAAGCTACTATGTAGTTATTTCTTCTTATTATTATTATATATTTAAATTGAAATATGTAACCAAATATATTACATT